TATATTTCAATAAAATAAAAGGTAAAGATTATCCAAGGATAAAGGTGTAGAACTTATCTAAGGGATGTAGTTTTATTACAGACTCAAGGATTGTGTGCATAAACAGCACAACGGAAGAGCGCAAAATGACGTTGGCGCCAAATCGTATATGTGCAAATTAAAACAAAACCTTTAACATTGGAATGTGCGCTACAACTTTGGTGCAGCACGTGAAGCTAGGAAAAGTGATGGTGTGCTTTATGCTCACTAGAGACTGGTTAGCACTTCTTATTCACCAGTCAATTATACACTCAATGAATATCACCTTTCCATTCTGCTTTGTGGGCATAAGGTCACTACTGACTTTATTAACCCTCAGATACACAACCACAAGTGGCATGGAATTTCCTTTTACCTTATCTATTATTCAGAAGTAGAAATCCCACAGTAGGCAGCTATTTCGCCAGAAGTTAATACAAGAACGCCGAAGACTTCTCAATTAATTGAAGTGCAACCAGGAAGACAGTCGAATTCAATAATGAAAGCTTGATAATTCGGAAGAAATAGGTCCTCAGATGAAGGGCTTTCCTTAAATTTCTCGGGGCTGTTCTCAAATTACTGCCTGAGACTTGAAATGTTCAGTATAATATTACAGAAGATTAACTTTAGAATCAGTTCTCTTGTAACAACAGAAGGCAAGATACGGAAACCAAGGCATATTTTGAAGTGATCAAACAGCTATTTATATCTATACAGTTTATATTCTTTAACCGATCATTGAGCGTGCGATTTTGATTTACATTAAACGAAATGAAATAGAGTGTTCAAAGCATATTTTATTCTGTTGCTAATGCAGTATTGAACCGTGGGAATAGTGTTCCGTTGGAATCCATTATCTGTATCACACCACCACACTGTTGATTATATTATATATTTACCTCCCAACTCATGTATTCCGCATCTTAAAAACTTTATGTTTACCTTGACATACGAAGATAAACTATAAGCAGTAGGTTCTTGGGGATCATCGGACCTCCTATAATAAACAAACGATCTCAAGATCTTATCAAGTGAATAAAAGATAGCATTAAAGTTCAGAAGGATGCAAAGCTGAAACACTCCCTAGGTTGTTACCGAAATGAGTTTCTGGAATACATAAGCAAGTATTATTAGGACTAATCTATATGAATAAGACTACCTGATATCCAGAAGTTCAGTGGAATATACTAACTATAAGTGAGGATATAAAATATAGGTCTGACTGATTGATAATAGCTTGGGGTTATCTAAACATTGATAATTGGTCGCGGGAGTTTCGTTACTAGGCTTTGTAACACCTACGGCAATAACTTCATTGAGAATCCCGGTACATACATAAATTGCGTGAATTATTGACTGGCACTCAGAATAACTGTTACAAAGATTTGAATGATGTAATTAGAGGATGAGTAGTGAAATCCACTAATGCTAGTAGAAATAAGCAGGAACAAAGAAAATTATGGAAGTATACGAAAATAAGTGCTAGATTCAATACAACATCCATTAACTTGGAAATGTGGTAGGCTGCAAATAATTCGTAATAACGGAAACCTCATGTTTATAACTTTATGGATAATCTTCCCAAAAATGTGAAGAATACCGGCGGTGTACAATGTTATACGACTTCTTAACCAATCGCATCCAGTAGTGAGAAGTTTCGAAAACAACAAAACTCAACATAATTTTATTGAGAAGTAAACAATTTCTGATATACAGATAGATTACACTGAAGGACATAAATTGTCATATGAGGCAGTATGAAAAGGTGATTAATACATCAGAGTTAACACGATAATTATCAAAAGATGAATTTTTGAACAGTTCATTTATATTCGGCAAATATTTTTCTGCGAAACACTAAAGAAATCGATCAATGCGAAGCTACCTGCCTCATTTTCAGTTCTACTTAAGTGTGTTACAGAGCAAATAACTGTATGAATGGGAAACTATTCAATTCAGTCAACATATCCTGAATAAAAGATTTAAAGTGATTCAACTACCTGAACCTGGTAGCATAATTGAGTGATAGTCAGTTGGAACATTTTCCAGAACATGCAGAAAGTTGTAACAATCTTAAAATATTTTCCTCGCTTTTTGTTTTCTACCCTAGAAGGTTATTCATACACTACATTAGATGGACAAAGGAGAAATTCAATGGAAATGTGTCAATATATTTATGGAAAATAAATGACAATTCGGCGAAGAAAAGTATCTTTATGGACGAAAATATCTTCAGGCGCTGTACAGTCCTAACTATATTTACCAAAAATGTATAGTACTCTATTATTGAGCAATAGAGAGGAGGGTGACATAATTGATATAATTACTCAGAAGTGGCTTCAAAAGTAAAAAACAAAAGTTATAAATAATGTAATACTCAACGGCACAAAGGAAGAAAGGGTTACAATTTGATCGAGTTAATCAAGTGAGAAGAAAGTTGGTTAAGTGTCCATGTGAAAAGTGTGAAGAGGGTGAGAAAACGTACAAAAGGAACATGTGAGAGTGATACTAGTGAATTAATTATTAAAATAAAAGCAACGTAGTCATTAAAAATAAAAATTTACAGGGAACGATTAGTGAAGACGTTAAAACCATGGTGGAATAAAAGACTCGACAAACCTCTTCTCTATACATAATTTGAGGTTGTATTGACGAAGTGACCACGCCTCCGCTATACACAAATGCCGAAACCTGACGGCCTTTGTACTAGTCCAATTGTCGAGCACTTCATGAACTCAAGCCATGTAGCTCCACCAGAGTCGTCTTTGAAGATTATCCACAAGGTGAGGCCAAAGGATACGAAAGGAGTTGGGACGTTTTATCACCCTCTTCACACTTTTCACATGGACACTTAACCAACTTTCTTCTCACTTGATAACATTTAACTCGATCAAATTGTAACCCTTTCTTCCTTTGTGCCGTTGAGTATTACATTATTTATAACTTTTGTTTTTTACTTTTGAAGCCACTTCTGAGTAATTATATCAATTATGTCACCCTCCTCTCTATTACTCAATAATAGAGTACTGTACATTTTTGGTAAATATAGTTAGGACTGTACAGTGCCTGAAGATGTTTTCGTCGATAAAGAAACTTTTCTTCGCCGAATTGTCCTTCATTTTCTTCATGACTCTATGGGTGTTTTCGGAGACATTAATGGAACTTTATGTATAATTTAAGAACTATATTACGAAATTCTACGTCCACTTGGTGAACATCAAAAATCTTTTGTTAACTCCATGCTTTCAAGATGTCCCTACATAACCAGTTCAAGCAACTGGAGGTGAGACAACAAAACTCGTGGGTTGAGTATTTTATTATTTCGATATCACATAGTACCATGTACATTGAATTCTTCCATCCAACATGAAATGAAGTGCCAGAATACAAACTTTAATGCAAAATAAACAATCCTTAGAAAATGGTGAGCTTTAAAGAATATTATTGACAAGTGAAAACGACTCCGAAATACCACTCATCACCACCTTATGAAGAAAATGAACAAATTTTGAGAACCTTTGGGTGTACAACTGCTCACACGATAAAAAATTTACACACGAATTTTCCATGCATATTAGGAATGAGGAGTGTTTTTTATTGTATAAAAGTACTGAAGAATCCTAATTTTTTCTGAAAAATTCTTAACCAAACCATAAACTATGAAATAATGTGAGTTGAATTAACCGTGGTAACGTCTCTGACTGCACCAGTGGGTGACACGGGTTCGAATCTCAGAAGGGACATGAGTTCTTCCAAGACTCCAGATACACCTTACTGATCTGTGAGTACCAACAAGCACGAAACCTAAATCCATAGCTTCCTGCCGATTGCCTCTAACCATCTAATAACAACGATTCAGAGAGCACCGTGACTGCAATCCGCTCAGCATGCTGGCCACATCGCAAACTTGACTGATAGAATTCATTCTGCACTAAACAAAGAACCAGACGTGTGATCCCAATCAGTGCCTAGTATATCTAGTCAAAGATTAGATTTTATACAACTATTTAAAATACAAAATCGCCTTGTAACCGGAAGTTCTGAATTCAAATCCCGGTGGGTGCGTACTGCTGGAGAGCCCCGAGAACTAGGATGAAACAGCTGTCTACTACCACTACTCCCTGGTTTTCGAACGGTCCTCTAACTGTGATGTCAGCTCGTGATCACAGCTGTAATCAATCAAACCCCTGGCAAACCAACACTTGAAAATGCAAGCAAACTTTCAACCAGGTCGTTGTTTCCTGAAGCGACTTTATTTATTTATTTATCAATTATTGAAAAGCATTTGAACAGTAAACAAACATGCTGATAACTATAAATACATATAAGCAAGAAAAAGTCAGTAATATATGCAAAATACAACAGAAGTAAATAAACCAAAACTAAAAACAGACTCCTCCTAATTATATACAAATTTCTCATTACATACTCACTCACTCACTCACACAAAACACACACACAGTGAAGTGTGTAGAGAAAATTACTGGGAATTAGAACAAGCCTATATAACGTAAAAAAAAACTGGAAAAAAATTAACTTAAAGATAACGATATAATGAAGAAATTGAACACAAAAAAAGCAATGTGTAATATTTACACAAATTATAAATCCTAAAAAATATGAAAGTATTTTGAAAAAACTAACTACTAATATAGAAGAGATAATGAGTAAACATTCACAGTGAGCAAATATAAGTTGTTGTTTTTTTTTTCAACATAAAAGATACTAAATTTTTAAAAAAGAAACAAAACAAAACAAAGTTAATAATAAAAACAGGAGACCAGAAATAGCACAGGAAACTTTAATCACAGTTTTTGAAGAAAACAAAAAAAACAGAAATAAAAACAAAAGCAATAAATAACTGATGAACATGGTGGAGAGAGAGAAAAGTAGGGGAAGAAATGCACTGAAAAAACAATTAAGGTGTCAAGTCAAGTTAACAATATATATATATATATATATATATATATATATATATATAATTATGGGGTAACTGATAGACTATTGGCTTTTAAAGCCTCTTCAAAAGAGAAAGACTTCACTCGAGGTTCTAAATGATTATTATTATCACAAGTCAGTGTAAATGGAAGAGCGCCGAAAACAGGTTCAAAATTTGTTGGTTTGATATGATCAATGATACTTGTGCTAATAGTTGCGTCTGAGTGTGCAGCAGTTACTTTATGTTTGCCAAGCGACACATTAGGAAGCAATACATCCTTTGCATTATTGTACATATTATTTTCTATACATGAAGTTGTTGAACTTGTAGACTGAGAAACATCAAAAAAATTTTCATGGAAATTTGACAATAACATACAAGCAGATGTATGAGGGGCAGGAGATGAAACTCGTATGTTAGAGAAACCATTGTGTGCAGATGAAGAGGAGATCATATTTGAAGATAGATCAGGTACAGAAGTAGTTGATGAACTAGTAAACTCACTTTTTTCATAACAAGAAAATGAAGGTACTTTATTCACTTCAGAAGATGAATTACTGTCATTCGATGAATCTATACTACAAAAGCGACTGCTACTACTGCTCCTATTACTATTGCTGTTATCGGTTCTACGTCTCTTTACATGCCTTTTCTTTTTGAACATTAACAAAAACTCTCGTCGGAGAGATGAAGATGCTTGAGAGGAAATCCATGTAGTTAGTCGTGTTGAACGCCTTGTTGGTTTGGGAAACAATGCATAAGGATCGGAAGATTCTAAATCCGGTGTTGAGGAGCTGGAATAGCATTCAGATGACTGACTGTCTGATGATTCTGTGTTTCGTAATTCATGCTTCGACTGTATACCTTTACCCATTGATAATTCTTGTTTGCAAGATGATTTACGATCGGATGAAACGGTGGAAGATGACCGACGGACACCCATCACATTCATTAATTTGCGCTTTTTCGCTCTTCGTACCATTTCATGAGGAGGAAATCGGTCAGATAGACGGCCAGTAAGACAATCAATAATGCGTACATCACGCAGACGACATCGACCACCTTGAATGCAATCAAGAATATCTAATGCGCGATCGACTCCTGACGAGAAAGCACCATGAGTACATTGTTGACCACCAGAACTATCGACAGTACCTTCCCCGGCAAAAAGTAATTTTGGACAACCCTAAAGTAAGCATACAGGTAAATTAAAACTTAGTAGTGTAATTTTCCTGACAACTGCACTATATAATAATTAAAAAAATCCACGTAACTATAAACAAAAGAACTAGAATGGCGATAAATTCCTAAACAATAAAGTAGGACCAATGTTACGGATATTCCTGAGGATTCGTATATTTAATGCACACAATGAAGATGAAGTAATAGAAAATGATGCGTGTTTAAGGACATTTGCTTATGATTCCTTATACGACGACACATCACATTCTAGCAAAATAGAAGTGTTAACTTCAAAGGAAGTGTTACAACACTTCATAAGTCCATAAGTAAATTACTAATAAAACAGTTAGTTAACAGTTTACAAATAAATAACAAAGACAGTCTAATTAATGCACATATTTCATAAAAAGGTAGAAAAAAGATAACAAATATCAACTAACTGTGGAAGGTAGGGGACTTGCGTATGCCTGTCGATCTTCATCGTTACTTCCAACTTCACCAGCAGTATAAGCACCCAAACTAAACGGATCTTCTGACCATCGAGTGACATGAGTAAATATAGGCTCAGGTAATGGACACTGTGATGGATACATACCACCCAACAAATCCAATAAGTTTTTCACAACAACCTGATCAGATCGACCGGTGATCTTGAGTTTAGAACCGCCCCATACATGAGCTACAAGAACGCCAGGATTTCCATAAAAATCACAGTTAAGTATATGAAGGTATGCACCAGGACATGTAATATGAGCTGCATTACGATCCCAGAAAATTTCTGATTGATTGAACTTCAAAATAACCTGGGATTAAGAAAAAGATAAGTTCAGACAGGTTCAATACTCACTAATTCTAATAAGTATATTTCTTATCGGTACCCAAATTTATTATAAGCACTTTCATACATATATATACTCTCCCCTGTTGTTTATTGCAATTTCCTTAATATCTAGTGCAAGTGTTGCGTCATTCTGACTGCACTTCTTTGATGTTGACCCAACGAAAAAGGATTCAGTGATTGACCTCGCTCTCCATTTAACTATATTACTTTCCAATACTGTTGTAGTCAGATAGTTGGAGGTAATCGGTAGGAGGCCTTAGACTTAGGTTTCGTGCTTGTTGGCACTCACCAGTTAGCAAGGCATGTCCGGAATCTTGAAAGAACTCATGTGTACCTTCTGAGATTCGAACCCGTTCACCCAGCGCTGAAGTCTGAGACGTTACAACTGAGCTATTCGAACTCACGATTGATCTCCTTTAGGATTGTATTTGATACTTTGATTGGACACTAACTACTGTCATGCGTCTAATGCTCTGTTTTACTTTATCCCACCCTATTATATGATTAACTCCAAGTGAATGCATTGCAACGGCCAAGCTTTTTTCCAGATTATTCAACTCAGCAGAGTTAATCATTTAAGCTCTAGCTAAAGTAACACTTTTAGGTAAAGTTTACGCAGTTAGCTCTACTTTTTGGATAACACTACATATATAATCTTTGAGACAAATCATAATTACTTTGATTTCATCTTTGCTACCACATATTTTCAAGCAGATGTCAAAGAGAACCAGTCACTAAGTACGCTGAAATTAGTGAACACCTATAGTTCGAATTGAATAAATTATATAAACAAATGTTTGAGTTTATTACGAAATAATATTAAGTAGTACACTTGCCACAGTAGCTACATTAGTAGGAACTAGTTGATGAAGACCTAAACGCAGTTGTTTATTCGTTATATAGTTTTCTGAGATTCTCCAAGATGTGATGAAATCTCAAGTTCATGGCAATTACCATATTTCCATGACACATTGATTAAGGTAAGATACAAATCTCTTCAGATGACCCCAAAAAGCATGTACATTTTCGAGATACTCGATCAAACTCCACAAAACCAAACGCAAGCTGAGATAATGTTAATAATAACTACACTCAGTCGATATACTTGAACAACATTAGATTGCTCAATTATAACAATAGCAAAAATAATAAATAAACACCTTAAAAACTATGCAGAAAGAATAATCAGCTTACCTTATTATGCGTTTCTGCACCAATTTTCGGAATACCAAGACGATCTATGGCAAGTCGTTTCCTCGGAGGCAAACGTGGATGGAACTGAATAGCACTACGACGGTCAAGGCCTTTTAATACACCCACAGGGACAGTTATGATGCAGAATCGTGCAAAGTAACGCCTACAAGATTGTTTACTGGATTTCACAGCAGACGACTCCTCGGTGTAATCCACAGTCTCTACACAAACTAGATTAGACGATTCTATATAATCCATTAGTGACTTAGCATTTAATGAAGCAGCACTTTCATCAATTGATTGCATGCTCACGGTCTCATTAATCTTACTGAAGTCCGAATGACTTGGCCAATAGACATGACGTACAACGCATTGATTGTGAACAACTACATCTGATGCCAAGAAATCAACAAACTTCGAAAATCCGTCTAAAACTAAACGATCTTCCCATTGATGATCTGTTCGACGGGCTATTCCTTTGTTGGGACCATGCAAACTTAAATGTGTTCTCTTCTCTTCCAACCAATCAAGATAAAGTCTCTTTGCCATGGGGGTTGGTTGGTTGACATCTAAAGCCAGACCTGCCATAGCATCGGCTTCGAAATGGGGTCCCAAAGACAAGTGAGGAGAAAGTCTATGAGCTGGATTCACGTAAGCTATATACCGAGCGAAAAGGGAGTCGAAAATTCCTTTTTCGCGTCGGGAAAGTGTTGGAGAAGCGCGGTGACCAGCTTTGTACAGTAACTGAAGACATGATTCTAAAGCGCTGTATGAAATAAATAAATAAATAAATAACAGTTTTGAATTAAATAGTATGCAAGTGCATGATCAAATTTAGTGCATAAATCCTCCGACTAAAAGGAAAATTAAATCAAACTTTTGTCCTGCGTTTGTGAGACTGCTAAAAAGCCGACAATGTGGCGCTGGATGAGAACGGAAACTATTTAGTGTTTCCCAAGCCATGTTTTGTGATATCTTCAGCAATACATTCACTGTTCGCTATTATATCCAAAAGGAAGTGTTAAGCATACACCTATGTAAGTTTATTTTGAACTAAAGGTATGCGGTTGGTAATGTTGGCTTGCTTTAAATTTTAATATCTCTTTTAAAATGTAAACTTATAACCTAAGCGAATGGAAAGTAAACTATAGTAGAAAATCCCAATCTAAACTATCACCCATCCCATTGATACAGCACACGATCAGCTTACAAGGTTAACAGGTGAGGTAAAGAGCATAAATGTAGCGGAGCGGAACCAAGATACATTGGTTTAAGTAGCAAAACCTCGACCAGTGTAGTAAAGAATCAACACCAGGTACCTATTAAGATTTTAAAAATCAGTTAGCATTGTTAGTGGTACCAATATTTCATTTCTCACAGTGTAGGAATTTTTATGTATCTGTTGAGGTGTCTAGTTTATTTATTACATTAACCTTGTGGATGATGCCAACCAGCTTCTGAAATCTGATCGCAATTACATTCAAGATAGTACCTTAAATTTCAATTTATCAGATATTCATTCTTGGCATAAAGTTCAACTGCAACATCCAATAACCAACTACTTTTCTAACCTCTGTATGCACTAAATTATCGATTTGCCAGTTAATTACTTCAAAACTTGTGTCTATGCTTTATATGCTTTGAAAATAGTAGTTTTCAGTCATATTTATCAGTTTCTGTATGGAAATCAGTTGATATCATGCGCAAAATACTCGTTACAAATCACTAAAAAGCGCTATACACTACCAAATATACAGGGGTTTATGAGCTACTGTTGTATGCATAAAATCTAATGATGCAACATGAATACGATAGTTTCAAAGGTGACACAAAATTTGATATCATAACCGCATGTTTTAAAACCTTATATATATATATATATATATATATATATATATATATATATATATACGGAAATTCAGTTATCCTCTTACTAATATCTTCAATGAATCATTTCCCAAAACTGTTGTGCCTGCCATTTGGAAGGGCAGAAATCATTCTTGCTTAATCTTGAACCTTAATTTAAGACTTTTAATGATCCAAAACAATTGACTTAAAAACATGATAGATGTGCTTTAAATTCTGCTGCTCCTGTTTTACATCATAACATTGTTGCTAGTTTGGACAAAGGTGCTAAATGCGTTTGTTGTGCCTTTCTGAATTATGCATCCGCTTTCGATTCTATTACTGGACCTTTCTGATTGAATTATCTTTCTGATAAAGACTGGGTGCTGGATTGATAAATTGTTGCATTCTTATTTTCTTGACAGGAAAGAACAATATCGGAGCGCTTTCTTTTTTAATTTGTTCAAGAAACTCAAGAACTAGTGGACTATCTTTGGAGAATGTACGTAAATTATATATATATATATATATATATATATATATATATATATGAGTTGGATTCTTTATTCGAATGTGTAACGTTAGTGTCACCTGTATAACTGTTACTTTACGTCAAAACGGCACTCAACCAGAAAGATTCATGTTTTGATGTTAATGAGTTATAATTGAACTATCCCTATCTATCGAAATAGGAGTCAACTTGAAACTTTGTGAATAGGTCCAGTATATATATGAGTAGAATTTGAGCGCTGTAGTAAAATATAATTCTACATTGGATAAATTTACATCAAATAAACTAATTTAATATGTAATGCGGTATATGTAGCCTGATGATTTCAACAAATATCAATAAGGTTTAAGGCTATGTTTTAAAATGTTGAAAAAAAACCCGTATTGAACTCAACAGCTTGTATACGTATTTACACAATAGAAACGTAATAATGTTAAATATTGTGTTCCCCTAAGGTGCAGTTATAAATTCTATAAGATCACGGATGTCAACCGCATATTTTTACTAGCCTCAAAAGACTGGACGGTATTTATATGCTCACGTGATTTTGGCGACAAAATAACGAGAGCATTCTTGTTTCTCACTAGTTGAAGGAATGTTTCCTGACTTTAGTACTACTTGGGAGTACTGGAGTTTAGAACTCGCTCCAGATGCTTCAGTATAGAGGACCAGCGTATACTGCTGTGAACGACTTAGTAATAAAGTTATCTCTAGCAACCGGTCAAGTTCAATCATTGTTACTTCAAAAACATACATTTACTGCTTTGATAAACTAAAACTATAAAAATGAAGTGAACATACTTTGGTAATGCGGTGGCTAAAGTTTTATTTGATTGATTTCCCTGCTTTTTTCGATTTGCGGTCATGAGAATGTGAAGAAGGCATCGGTCAAGTAAAAAGCTCATATCAGCAACCTCTGTCAAGCCAATTTCCTTTCCAGACTTATTATCCCGCCACACAGCTACCTCTGGACACTCCCAACCTCGGTGTGCGCCCAAAATGTCTCCAGCAGCAGGAGCAGTCGTGATTTTTAGACGACCAGCAAGTGTGAAGAGAGGCTGAATTTCTTGAGAGTTATTGCAACCGTGAAGATAACTAGCTCCCAAATCAACAACAAACTTAGTTGTCTCATTAGCTGCACCAGGAAGATCAACTGTATGAATGCGACCACCATTTCGAGGTCTTGCTTCTAAGACAATGGTTTTGAGTCCTTCATTGGTTAGTAGTTTAGCTGCACCGAGTCCTGAAATACCGGCACCCAAGACAAGTACATCACAGAATATAGCCTCCGGCATTTGACAAACAATTTGTTGGAAAATAGACCCTGTAGAAGATAGTGAATAGGTATGAGGTAAGCAATGGTAAAGACCACTCGATTACAAAGTTTTTTGAAATATTAAACTGAAGTCTGTAACTAAGTAATAGTGGAATTCACTCACAAGTGTTAACTTAAGTGTAATTCCACCTATTTGTGTTCCGCACGTCTTTTTCTCTACATATTGTGATGTTGGATGAAGCGTGTTGAAATGTGACAGCTTCGACTGTTGTCAGTCAGAGTGTACTTATTTAGTGAGTGAACCAAATAAATTAATGTGATAATTATACGAAAATTAATATAAAGTAAAATATTTCAAACTCGAAAATTACTACTAATGATGCATAAAATAACACTGGCTAGTACATTCTATTTATATGGTGAAAATTCAACCTTTTGGTAAAATCATGGTTGCGAAATAGAATCTTTTGCTGCCTTCATCTTACAACAAATGCAAAGCATCAGTATCACTCGTGAATCGTGATTCGATAACAATGGCAAATGGTTGCTTTACGACAGAAAAATTTACTAGACAACATATCACCAAGATGCGACCATTCACTTGAAAACCATTTGGTTATTAGTTCTAACGCTCTCGATGAAGATTCAACCATAGATATCAAGTAGATGAATCCATAAACATTTACCAAACTACCCTTCAATAAACACATCACACAGAGTATGACCTAATCATTTATACTTGATTGATTAACCAACACAAAAAGCACGGACATACATTAGTTTCAGTTACAACAGTTTTAACAAGCCCAATTATAAGCAAAAGGTAATCATATGATAGACAAAAGAAAAAAAAAGTAGTTAAACGATGATCAGTAATGACTGGAATATGAAGCAATCGACTGAATGTGACATTTTTTCCTTCTTTGAGAGATCAGTTTTGGAATTTCGGTGATGTAGAGTGAATGAATCTGTATTTGTAACGAAGAGTATCCAACCATTATTTCCCGACATCCCAGTTCTCTTAGACAGAGAAAACATACTTCTACACATGGCTCAGTTGGGTAGTCAGCGAATACATAAGTTAATGACAATGTAATCTATCAGTTCAAGTTCTCACCCAACATAGCACTACTTCAGCCAACAATGCTTCTCTTGGAGTTCAGTGGCTCAACATAAATAGCAGCCATATCAACCAATCCATATACCTCGACAAGTGAAAACTAACAATCTCATAGGCCGACACGCAAGACTGCATCTGACACCAACACTTGGGAAATTCAACCATCTGATTTGAGTAACTGAAAATATAATCGTTTATTTTATTTTTTATTTATTTTATTTTGATTTACAGCTTGATTCCACACCGTATTTTCAGTACAGGTATGGAATTTTCAGCATGGATATCGGTAGTCCAAATTCAGGCCGACCATAGATATCGGGTGTGCGCCGGCAGGGGATCGAACCCCGGACCATGTGCATGGTCGGCGAGAGTCCTAACCACTGTGCCACCGACGTGTCATATGTCATGCTGATAAATTCCGACAGATGATTGAAAATTACAGTTAACATTTGCGCAAACTATTTTCTACTTCAGAAATATAGATCGTTTAGAGGAGCTGGCTTAAACGGTCTTCAAACTACTGTCTAAACTGAAGCCAGGTAAATCACCTGGGTTCGATGGATTTCACCCTAAACTGTTAATTTCCTTGGGGCGTATAATACACATTCCACTTACGGAGATTTTCCGACTGTCTCCGACCCAGGCTAAGCTACCCAGGGACTGGAAGGATGCCACTATTAGCCCTATCTTCAAAGAGGGGAACAGGCAATTGGTATCTAACTACCGTCTGGTCAGTCTGACATGCATTATAGCAAAGGTAGTGGAAAGTATTATAAGGGATCAGCTATTAGCTCATGTGGAAAAACATGGCTTGCTGGCGGTGGAACAGCATGGATTCCGACCAGGACGATCCTGCCTGACAAACCTACTATTGGCTAGGGAAGACTGGGTTAAGGTCAGAGATAAATACCTTCTTTTGGACGTGGTTTTTATCGATCTTAGTAAGGCATTCCACCAAGTATTTCATTTAGGTCACCTTAATAAACTTAAAGGTTTCGGACTAGACCAATGCCTGTGAGTGGTTTAAGGATTACCTAATAAATAGAAGGCAGAATGTCAGAGGTGACGGCGTACTGTCAGGGTGGATAGCAGTATCCAGTGGAGTGCCTCAGGGGACTGCATTAGGCCCCTTGCTTTTCTTATTACACTTTAATGAGCTACCGGAGATTCCTACTTCATCTTCATTATTGTTTGGGGATGACATTAAGATCTAGAAAACTGTAAATAATAAGGATGATAGGTTGGCCCTACAAAATGATCTAGATAAATTAGCTGAGTGGTCGAACATATGGAATTTGGAAATTAATTCTAGGAGAGGCGCGGTAACGCACTCAGGTCAGAAGTTTTATACGTTGCACTCCTCAGGGGATACAGAACTACCTGATGTTAACGGACAGAAGGACCTAGGAATCGTTGCCAGCAATGATTTGAAAACAACTACGAATTGAGATAGCTAAGGCTTTTCGAATGCTATGGGCACTCCGAAGAGCTTTCAAAAGGTTAGATGAGTCTATGTTTAAAGTAATCTACGTAACATATGTCAAGCCTCATCTAGAATACTGCATACAAGCGGCTAGTCGATGCTTCAAGGAGGGACATATCTTAGAAAGAGTACAAAGGGTAGGAACCAAATTAGTTAGTGGTATCTCACACCTTTCTTATGACAAAAGGATTTAGCATTTAAATCTCTTCCCGTTATCATACTGAAGGAAGAGAGGCGGCTTAATTTTAGCATACCATATACGTAAGGGTGATTTACGAAATGACCTTTCTAACCTTTTCTCCCCTTCAAAGATAAAATTAAAGGGTAACCGTAAAAAGTGCTCAAACCAAGGACGATTAAAATACATGCGGAATTTGCATTCTCTCACAGAGTGGTCAACAACTGGAACTCCTTACCTGATTCAGTAGTATCAGCTCTACCGGTGAACGCTTTCATAGAGAAGTAGGTCTCCGTGGATATATATTTTGCAAGGATTAACACAGGTTGCAAGAGCCTACTACACTTATCATATGAATCTGAATGTATGCCAGATTATAAGTGCTGCACATGAATAAATCTGAATCCCTGTAGGCTTCATATGACTGCGCGACTTGGCACTTTCGATAGTTAGCACGCGAAAAACTGTATAACAGATGCACAAATACACTTGAAACCAACATGAAAGGGAAATGCTCGTACCTAATAGGCAGTGATGAACACCTGTGAAAGCCTTTAATTTCTCAATATTATAAACTGGGACACAGAAAGCACAGAAGGCTACGATAATATAAATTCTTGATATTAAAATTTTTTCTATGAACCATAGTTTCCAGAAATCTGGACTATACTTACTGAATGATGACAGTGACCCTCAAACTAACGGAAATAATTTGGGTACCCTGAACGACCCTTACTTCAAATTTCCCTCCGTATTATTTAAACACGGTTTCATAAACGATGCAACATTTTCACTGCATATGGTGGGTTTCTGTGAATAAATATTATATAAACACGTTTTTATGCTATTTTCCCCTTGTATTGCCTTGTTAAACTACAAAGGAAACACCTTTTGAAGTATGTTCATGGTGGTTTCCAAAAGTTTCAGCAAGAGCTCGCATTTTTTATCCAAGTGGCCACAGAATGCTTGTAGATGGTGGAAATATTATTCAGTACGGTTTCGTTAAAGGTTTAGGATGACATTTCTTCCTATCAGAACACTGTGTTAATGCCTTGTTCGAAGCAAATGTTCGCCCAGCTTTTCCGAAAAGGTTTTCTACACTGAAGACATAGAACACACGTGTCATCATTAGCTCACGGTTTCCTTCCTCCCTGTGGTTGCCTGGTATCCATCAGACTTACAGGTCATACCTTTCGGAAACTTGTAAGATCCACATCGTTTTTCCAAAGAATAGTCAACGGCCATTATCGTAGGTTTACAGTGGAAGTGAATCATTTCGGTATACGACACATGCACCGGTGAATAGTATTACTGAATTTTTGACCAGTAGATAAGACTTTATCCTAAAATAACTGTGTACTACAATGTTTCATCGTTCCTAATAACTATCATTTACCGTTTGAATGTCTTTCACCAGTTTCTTTTGGTTTAATACTGCTTATCCCTACTGAAACTATGGACGGACCAGTTACATTTCTAATAGGCTCATATGTGTACAAAACTGAGGGGGAACAAACAGTAGCCAGTCCGTTTATTTCATTCTTCGGTATACTAGAATGGATGATAGTAATCTAGAGTTGCATCTCCGTAGCGATCCAACTTCCCTTTGAAAACATTTACCGAATTATTCTATGTCACTTTACCCGAAAACGAGCTTTAGATGCTGAATAATACGAACAAAAATCTAAATATATCTCGCAACTAATTTGATCGGCATCCAAATATCTCCCATTGGTAACCAACGTAATTGCCATGGAGTTAAGAAAAAGGCAATATAAGTCAAGTCCTCAGTTTGTATGTGGTAGGTCCGAATAATATCAAAACCCTGAAGTCAACAAATTAAAAAACTAGGTCTCACACTTTTCATCCCTTCCTCGCAAGGAAGTTATGCGGTTTTCCCAACCTTCCTAGGTTGGAGTTCTATCCAAGTAACCTATGTATTTGACTTGACAGACCTAGCAAAATCTAGATTAGTTGACTCATAACTTGAACTGACCAAGGGATTTCTAGGGTGTTTTCCCTGTATTTTAAATGATAAAACGTTGTCTTTGTTTACAGCGTTATCACATTTGAATCTAAATTTTGTATCTATTTCAGTGTAATAATAATAATAGTATATTCTCATTTTTGTACACGAGGGACGCCAGTTTACAGGCATCATCAATATGATAAATTACACATACGATTAGTAGGTATGGTTAGTAATGATAATATAATAAGGTACATTTTTATTCCTAC